AAATCTCTCCACAGCGTGACGTCTCTGAGGGTTCGTTGGAATGTTTATATATATGTTTGTGTGTGTGTGGTGTGTGTGTAGTGTGTTTGTGTGTGTGTGTGTGTGTGTGATGTGATTAATGCCAACAATTCGTTAGAATTCATACAATTGATCAAGGATTTCAAAATAAAATGGATATTAATATGAATAACATGGCGAACATTAAGGATGATGGAAGTTTTTCTCGTAAAAATTATCTCCAATTTCGCCATGCCTGATGAAGTGGCCTTCGATGGGGCTGACAAATCTCGAAACTGCTTTTTACAACAATGAAAGTGACTACCATTATAGCAACATCATGAATAACGATGATGAAGAAGATGGTGGAGAAGATGATGATAATGATTAATGATGATGGTGGTGATGATGATGATGATGAGAGATGATGATGATCAACCCGATGAACATTAAAAAATAACGGAACGAACAGCCAGCAAGCAAGCAGTTCACATGACATCAAAAGATAACTGAACGATAAGAAGAATGTAAGAAGATAATAAAAATGCTATTGCGCTGATGGGACTATGGTGATAATATTTTAATTATATAATTATGTTATCAAGATTAATTCGATTCATGTATGATCATTCTTATGGCCTGGCGAAGATGATAATGATGATATATTAAGGTGATGTTGACGATCATTATTGTATGATAAAATTGGAATGAATAACATTGAAATTGCATACTGTGTTGGAGTTTTTTTTTGTCCGTATAATAGAGTATTCCAATAAAACTTGTATTGGTAAGTACACAAATTTACCGCATCTCTGGCGGGATGTGAATAACTCATTTGCTCAGGTTCAAACTCTATTCAAAGACATGCCAACGCAAAATATGAACAATGCAAAGCTTTAGTTCCTATCGCCAAAGTTACCGCCTTGATCCAGTTCCCTAGTGATTTGCAGAAAATGTTGATGATGATTAGATCAGTGATAAAATGCGATAATTTAAGAATTAGGTAAGACAAAATTAATGCGAATAATATTGTGCTGATAGTCATTCTTTCTCTTTCTCTCTCTCTCTCTCTCTCTCTCTCTCCTTTCTCTCTTCTCTTTCATTGCATCTAATGATTATTTAGATTATTTAAGGATGATGATGATGATTTTGATGATGTTATGTAATAATTATGTAATTAAATGCAACAAAACATGACGCAGCAATGGTGACTTAATGTAATAATGATAACTGATGATTACGTGATGCACCGATGGAGGTATCCTTATGCGATAGAATGTTGATGTGACGCGAAGATGATGATGTAATGATGATTCGATATGATGATGACGTGATGCTGGTTTAAATTGATGGCATGAAGATTGAATGGGCGTGACGGCTTTTTGATTGCACGTGCATCGGCCACCTCAACAATGCTCACATTTGAACTTGTCACGTAACTAGTGTTATGTTCGCTGACCAATAGGTTCTTCATCATCATCATTCTTCTTTCATTACTTCCATCGGCATAGTAATAATATTAATAATAATAATAATAAAATTGATAATAACAATAATAATAGAATAATAAAAACTACATTTTTATGGTTTTTTCTTGTTAATCAAGATTTTAATTGTTTTTGTTTTTTATGATGGCAAATTATTTCACAAATGTTGCTCTATTTTTGCGCTGTTGTGGCCCCACTTTTTGGTCGCATTCATTGAGACTGAATAATGCAGTGACGACTTGATGTGACTGCTCTGTTGGGCCTGTACTGGCGTAAGATTTAATAATACTTGATGTTCGTCAAAATCTTCTGCCCCTGAGAAATCATCCCCCCATCATCCGTCATCATTATTGCGCTCGTTCAACACGGTTGCTCAACTGCAGTACGCTGGCTGGATTAATGTCGAACACGTTTGCGAAATTCAAGAACGTTTTGAGAGTTAGCGAAGGCAACACTTCATAAAATAATCCAATCAATTTTCCAAAAAATAATGGATGGGAGTTCAACTATAATTTAACAACAGTCTCCAGTTTATTTTGTAGATTTTTGAAATGTCCACCATTTACTGATATTTTCAGCAAATTTATTACTGATGCATCAGTTATTGCAAAAAAGCAATAATGAGCCTATAAAATGGCATTAGCATGAAATGGGTGGCAAACAATGAGACGGTGGGTAGGTGTTGGAGATGCGTCTTGATTGAAGTGAGCATATTTTGGCGGCTTATACAAAAAACGGCTTTTTTTATTATCTTACATTAGGATTTTAAAGGCAATATTTTATTTAAACTGAATTTCATGAACAATTGTAACGTATTATGAGCGCGCCTAATAAAAGCAGACAGTAAAAACAAAAAATAATTGATTTATATTTTATTTAATTTTTTGTTGTTTTTTAATTTCGTAATTAAAGTTTTGATAATGTATTTTTAATACGGGAGTACCTACTTGAAAATATGCCATTTTCGAATGGCGCTCTAGGCAACTGCCATTATTAAGTCGTTGGTGATAAGATGATGATGCAATGATATTAACATATTCAACTGCTTGAATATAAGATGTTTATTCAAATAACCTTTTATATATTTTATGTATTTCAAACACTCACTTTCAATGCCTCAATATTGAACCAAGCACATATTCAGCTGTCTAGCAATACGTCCACAGTTAAAAATTAATTACTCGAGCTATGACTGAAGGGGTGGCTAAGGGACTGTTAAATGGTTCTGAATGGATGCAATAAGAATGCCGTTTGCAGTTGGGTGCATGCTTGCCTGCTCGCTTGCTTGGCTAGTTAAAATGTGTGGTATATATATATATATATATATATATTAAGAAATATCACCGCATTTTCCGTATTGTTGAGTTTGTAACTGAGTTTTTCAATTTTTCGAACAATTATTTTATCGATATTATTCAATTTAATCAAATTAATAATAAAACTTTTAATTATTTTAGACTGCATTTTTCATATATACCTTTAAATAAAAGCTTTTTTCGGTAACTTTTAACACCATCAGTGTAATAGAGTTTGTTATACTGTTACATATAGTACATCTGGTATTTATAGTACTTTTTAACAATGGAACTCTATGTTCCAATGATAAAACAACAAACGACAAAAATTATCACTTTATTACCAAAATACGATGCCGACAGCTTATAATGACCGATGCAAAAATAATAAAAAGGATTGTTAACGGTAATGTAAAAACTATCAACGAAAATGATAAATTAAAACTTAGGATTTATCACACAAACAGTAACACCTCATCCCTTGTTATTAAAAACAATTGCAATACTAAACTAGAATCGTTAATGAAGAGCAGTCATCTAGTATATTCTTTTGATTGTAATTGTAGGAACCGAAACAGAGAATATATTGAATTTACTACTACGACTTTATCAAGAAAGTTAACAATGCATACACAAAATGGTGCAATTAAAATCATCTAATGGATTCACACCAAATAAAAATAACAAGGAAAATATTAAACTCAAAAACCAAAGTCTTATATTACAACCATAATATAAATAATTTGAGAATAGCAGGGGCTTTATTAATAGAAAATAGAAACCATGCAATAAACATCCAACAACAGCCTGTAACGATCGTACCAACAAAGAAATTACTCTCACAAAATAACAATGGAACTTGGAGTTCCTTTGTTAATAATACTACAAATACCAGATGTACTACATAAAGCAATATCACAAACTCTATTACACTGATGATGGTAAAAATTACCGAAAAAAGCTTTTATGTAAATGTATGTATATCGATAAAATAATTGTTTGAAAAAATTGAAAAACTCAGTTACAAACTCAACAATGCTGAAAATGCCGTGATAGTTCTTAATAACTGCATATACGACAGTCTGAACCCCCCCCCCCCAAACACACACTAACCACACACTAACCACACACACACACACACACACACACACACACACACACACACACACATATATATATATATATATATATATATATATATATCCAAGTTTATATATATATATATATCAGTCTAAGAGTTCTTAGCAATTAGAACAATAATAAGCGAATAGCAAAAATCAACCAACCTGAAAATAGAATCGAATAACGGGTGCACATGTGTTTATTTTTTTAACTGTAGGAGCCCATATAAATTATTTTATTTCATATATATAGTGGTTATATGAAATATTTAAATGAGCATTTGCCGCAAAAATAATGTTTGGAGATTGGGATATGAACAGCTGATTGGTTGCTTGCTTGCTTGAAAGGTTATTGTATAAAATATTCATAGACATTTTTTAATTACATTCTTATTGTTGAGACAGTGCTCCAGCCACTTATAACGATGACGATGACAATAACAATTTGACGATGACAGTAATGACTATGCTAGAAATGTTAATGACGAAAATGTTGACTGTAATGGCTGGAAAAAGATGCCAAAATGTTTAAGAATAGAAAGAAAAGACTTTTTTGTAATAAAATTGTTGGTAAATATTATTACACTTCGTTTTTAATTACGAGGCTCTGGCATGTTCTATACTGCTGCAGGCCATTTCTTTCTTATTTAAAATTTTGTGCCACGAAGGCAACACATCCTCGCCAAAATACCAATTCATACCAATGTGTTCAGTCAAAATAATTAGGTTTTGTTCGAATTATTATTTACTAACCTGGCCTGCCTCCAACAAACATCTTACAATCGAGATACACAATTGCCAACTCTTTCATTGAGTCGGTTCAGTTGTTTGGGTCTCGTCTGCTAAATTTCATGAAGTTGTCAATTAAAATTTTGAAATAAAGGACTTTTGAAAAGAGAATAAATATGATTAACATTGGCCACCAATAAAATCCGTTGATTTAAAATTTAAGAAACACAACTTAGTCAGTTTCAGACCTAATTAATTATTCATCAGCTTAAAATGGAATTGTCTTCAAATTAATTTTTTATTTTATATTATTCTCTCATGTTTCATTTCTCAAAATATCAACAAAACACACAGCGTTTGAGAAAACTCAATCACAATTCTTTCTTGTGATAGGCGGAGACGTCTGCATTTGAACTAGGTCGCTGCATCACAGTCAGTACCGGCTGCTTTACCATACCTTGATTTTTATTTATTGGTTAATATATATATTCGTTAAAAATTATAATTATTTTATATATTTATAAGGATTTTTTTTCCTAAAATTTTTCAGAAATTGAAAATTTTGAAATTTCATAAAGAAGATTTTCATTAAAAAAAACTAATTCTCAATAATGCTAATTATATTTGAAGTTTTTTGATTGTTTACGCGTTTTTAGTTTTACCATTTGCATGCAACATTTTAAGTGAAAAATGTTTTTTTTATAACCACACCAGCTCGTGTAACAATTGAAAAGTTATAATTGTTTCTGTATTTTGTTTAGCAAGAAAATCATACAAATTCACTCTTATAAGAGTTTAAATGTTTTAATTGCGGTTTTAATATTTTTTAGTATTCAAAGTATTGCAGCATTAAAATCTCTTCACAGTTATTAAAAAATGTCCCAATGAAGTAATGAATGAATTCGTATTCAGAGTGCATCTCCCGCGTTAATCTCTGAAACATGCTGCACAGCGCTGTACGGCACGAGTCTTATCAGGGTGATGGCAATAACGCATACATTCCACATACATTTCTTTCACTTTATCACCTCCTACTTACCTTACATCCATCCTGTGCACCAACAACAACACCATCTCGATCCATAATATGTTGTGACAAGCATTATTATCACTCTTAATATTGTAATAATTTATTATTTTATTTAACAGTTATTATTAATATTTTTAGAAGTAGCACTGTTTTTATTTTTACTATTATTTTCGTAGTAGTAGTGGTAGTGATGTTAGCAGCCGCTGTGTTACTGGTCAGTTTTAAAGTCCTTATATTATGGACAAACAAATTTGTTCAAATACCAGCTAATAAATCATAATTTCTGTTTATTTAATGATATTAATAAATATGCTAGTGTTCGTTTTGTGTGTGGGTTTGTATGCATATATTTGTGTGCATGCGTGGGTGCATGGGAGTTGTATAATGTATCGTGTTTACATTCGACTTAATTCATTTTTTCATCCTATGTGGCTGGCTTTCAAAAACAAAAACATGCAAAATTGTGTCAATAAAATGCGACTGCATTCATGGTCCATGCACAAGTGAGTGTTAACCAGTTGCTAAATATAAAATAATGAGTTCTCCAATAAAGTTGATAAATATTTTATGGAATTTAATTTTAACAATTCATTTTTTCATGTTCCTAAATGTGATGCCTATGCAATATATCGATTACACTATCATCACGTCAAAAATCTTCATCGCGGAACTTACTCGGAAACCGCATTGACTTCCGGTCAGCAGAGCTCAGCAACCAATATTGATTATTGGAATTTGTGCTTACATTTCGGACAATTGATTTTGATGTACGCTTTGATAGTTTTATTGGCCGAGCCTGTTGACACCTGTTAAATCACACGACGTCCAACCGAACAAGGCTGCTGAGATTTTGTGGCACTTCTGTTGCCTGCATTAATTAAATATTTTTTCCATTTTTTATGTTTTGTTAACTAAATTATATTTTTGTTTGTTGCGTTGTTTTCATCCTTTCTCGCTCTGTCTACCTACCAGCTCTGCGGCGGGCGCTGATGATGCTGTTGTTTAATGTTTTTTCATGTTGTTGTTGTTGATGATAATACAACTAACCACCTCTGTTCTGTGTTGTTTGTGTCAGTTTTTGTGGTTAATTCGACTTAATGATTTTAATAATAGTGTGGCTCTGTACTTTATAATTTCATGTATATTTTATGTTGTTTATGACCTGCAATTAGATTTACTGTGTACATGGTTGTGTACGTGTGTGTGTTGTGCATTTGTGTGGGTTGGTGCGTGCGTGTTTGTATGTATGTGTGTGTGTGTATAAATGTGTATGTTTATGTATGTGCGTGTGTGTACATGTTTCCATTGTCTGACTGTGTGGCCATCTATTTTTTCTAATTATGTATTCTTATTCTCTAGATCGTTTCTTAATGAATTTTTATTCCAAGTTAAAGTTTTCGATGTAGCAATTAACACCATTGAATACCTTACTACTGCAAAGTTTAGTGGCTCGAGTGCCACTGAATAAATGATATTGTGTTGTGGAACTCCGATTGGCCACAATGCCTCAGTGTTGAGTACCGGTGCTTCTGGTTGTTGCTGATTATGATCGGATAACGTCAGTGTAGGTGGTGATGTTGAATGAAATAAATTGTTATGCAATGTTATCTAACCTTAAGCATTATTTATTATATACTTATCGTTAGGCCGTTGTTTGTTGATTTATGAGGGTTTTCTCTGTTTAGTTGTTGCGAGATTATGATGCAAACAAAATGTGAATGTGCTGTGAACATGCCATTTGAGTTGTTGTTTTTTTCTCATTACCTTATTTCTCGTTTGTAAACCTAGTTTGATTAAAATTCAGTTTTAGTTGATGTGAGATTCAACATTCTTGCTGAACGCTCGTCTGTGTTGCAGCATTATTACGTTTCATTATAGCATTATTATAAGTCTAACGAACACAAATTCTATTTTTCATTTTGCCACTCCAAAATTAATTTTAATAATTTTAAATGTCATTACAATTTTTTTCTAGATACTTTTTAACTCAACTTAATTTTCTGTTTTCTGATCTTATTTATTCCAATGCTGTAAAAAGATACCTGTGATGAATTTAATTACGAGCGTGACGGGCTGGAGACAAATTGTGTCGAAAGCATAAACAACGTTACGTCTCTCCCTTCTCTTTCTCTCTTTTTCTTTTTTTTCTTTCTCTCTCCCTTTCTCTCTTTAATCACTCGTTTGATGTTTTTTCTTCGTTATCATTTTTTTTTCTTTTTTTACATTGTTTTTGGTTTATTCTGCCTCGCGAACCAATTTTATGTTAATTTAATTTTCCATCAAAGTGGTTGCCATCATTTGTTCTCACAATTCATCCACTCCATTCAACTTTTTTTTCCCATTATGTCATTATGTCTTTTCAGCACACATCACTCAACATCATCTGCCTTCATCTCACCACCATCCACCACAATCATTAAACATCATCCTCTCCAACCATCCACCACCATCCACCACAATCATTAAACATCATCCTCTCCAACCATCCACCATCATAATTCAAAACCATTCGCTCCCATCCACACCCATCATTCAACGTCCGTCACCATCAGTGGCGAGTATAGACAACATCGGTGGGGGCCAAAATGTTGAGTTTGATGGGGAAAAATGTTCACATTTATGCTGGTGTGCCGAAAACTTTGGTTGACAAAATTTTTTGCTTATTGCGCAAATTTATGTTCCTATTCAACTCAAAATAATGTCGTCGTGTGTGGAAACTGAATTTTATTGAGTTTTTAAAAAATACTTCCTCCTAAATCCGCCAGTGGTCGAAGTTGTTGTTGCGAGGAGCTAGAACAACTACAAAAACAAACTTGTATTCGTGAATAAATTTTCAAAAGCAATTTTTTTAAAGTGCTGAAGCCCCAAAGCTTTTCTTCAATGTTATCGTTTCCTTTAAAACTGTCAAAAACAGTAATTATTCAATGAAAAGTAAATTAATTTTGATTAGTTATTTAGACGTAATTTGGATAAACTTTAGTAAATATGATACGCTTGTTCAATAGCTTATCTCAAAATGCACCCATCCTGAAAATTTTTGGTGGCTAGGTTGCTCAGGTGCATTGGAGGGGGGGGTTTGACAAAAACAGAGTTTTTCATTGGTAAAACAGAGCATCAGACGACAAGGTGTTAAAGGACAAAAACATTAAAAAAAGAAGGGAAGAAAAGAGGATGGTAGTAAAGATTTTTATTTAAATTATTTAAATACTACCGATTTTTCACAGATTTTTCCTAAATTTCAATGGGTAAACGTTGCACGAATGTTCGTGATATGAATGTACCTACCCGTACAAAGGCAACCAACATTCAACAAATCAAGAAATTTGTGACGAATGACATTCGAAGCAGTTACTCATGATAAGTTACTGTGATAAATTTTTCTATTAATTTTAGAGACTTTAAAAAAATAAATGTAAAATTTCAAACGATGTTATTAATCTAAAAATTTATTTCTGATCAATTAAAAGGATCCTTGCTATAAAAATGATGTCCGTGAAGTGACTTCGCCACCTGTCGTTCATCTCAATTTCTTTTTTTTAATTTTTTTTAAACGAACATGTTACTTCATAGTTTTGTTTAAATAAAACACATTTGCGCTAAAAACAGCTACTGACACAATTTATAATTTGCTATACAAATCTCGCTGAATTCATCTATAAAAAAATTTTTTTATTTCTTCATCTTAGTTTATTTCATTGAGCCATGGACAAGGAAAATTATCATTCTCGTAATAATAATAACAATTAGTATTATTATTTTCATAATTATAATTTATTTTTATTTATTTTTGAATTACTCAATGATGAAAATTGTTACGCCAACATGAAGCCCATATTATCATAAAATTGTTATTGTTGTACCTGCCAGCATCGTCAAGTTATTCGTTTTAAACAGGTTCGCTGGTTTCTGATAGACGAACACAACCGCTTCAAGCACAGATTTGTTTAAACGTTTATCTGAATACCAGCAGTAATAGAACCACTGAATCATTCAACAATTCCAGATTGCAGATCACAGAGCAATCCCACAATCCAACAGCTTCAACGTCACAATACGTCCTGTTCTTCTACCCAGTTTTACAATTACATGCTACAGAGATATCAGATTACAACAAATAGTTAATAATGGAAGCATAGTATTATAGAATCAAGAGAGTAATAAATTAATTGAAATTGTATTCTTGTAATTTTATAATTATTATTATATAGCACATTTTGCAAAACAACATTTTGGCTATTGCAGCAGTTATAACAATAACATAGATAAAATTTTGTTGCCGTGCTTTTTAATAATCTTGCGTAATGTTGACGTCATCCGACGCGCATTTTTCCAAGTTCGAGTTCACGATGTTCCGTACACTTGCACTTGCACGTGCTGCAGTGCCACACTTTATGTGTTGTTCCATTTTGCACTGAATAAGTTTATGTTGTGTTGTTGTGTTCCAGCACAAAAACACAACACAACAACACAGACGTATTCATTGCAAAATCAACAATTATAGAAATGGCTTTGTTTAAACATTGTTTAGTCGTTTGTCGATGGATCAATTTTGTTTTTTCTCCGATAGTTAGTTTTTAATTTTTCGATAACACGTTCTTTTGTTCGATAGCTGTTTATCACGTGATGTTAGAATCTGACTCATTCTGATCTAGTGCTTGTCTTTATTGATACATAATCACTTTTTTCAGAAACTTAAACAAATTAATTTTTTGTTTTGTTTAGAAATGGGAGCAATCACTTTTTTAATTGTATTAATTTGCATTTTAACAAAAACAAGTCAATGTTAGATTTTTAACAATTTTTACATTTTATAATTTGTAATAAAAATTAAACACTTTTAATTTTTGTACTACTTTTAATAATCTTAGCGGTCTGTTTAACGTTCTAATGATGTGACGATTTGCAATTGTTGAACATTCAGATCTTTCACGTTTCGAATCATTTTATCTGTAATTATTTTCGTAGTAGTTTTACTGTGAGCCTTGTAACTGCGAATATCCTGTTTGAACCAGTGTCTATTATATTACATAAAAAGTGTATATTGAAGGTCTGTCTGTTTTGGTTTTCACTGAAATTGCAGTATATTTCTGTGTAGTGGGAGACGAAAAAGAGCAAAGCATGGCACATAACACGGTTAAAATATTTTCACATGTATCTACTTTCTTCGTAACTCCGTCAGAGCTTCCTTTCAACGCCACTTATGCATAAACCTAATTCTCTTAATTGTTAAATTCAGTGCATTTAACTCAACAAAGATTTTAAAAGATTTATAAATTCAACAAATTAAAAGGTACTCATCTATTAAATGAAATTATAACCGTAGAACAAGCCACTTTGGAGTTATTTATAACTGTGCATAAAATACATCCAACCAAACTTAACGCTTCATGATTGAATTATAACTTTTTAAATTAATTTGAAATTTTAATTTCTGCTGAAAAAACTTACAAAAACTGAAAAAATTGTAACCAAAAAAGTTTGCACGTGACAATATTTCCATGGAAAAAAGCAGAGAGAGTAAGATTGGAATGAGATGAGAGGGGAGTTTTTAATCCACCCCATCAACATCCCAGCTATTAGTTTCTACTTCATCACTTTTTCTATTTTGTCAATTTTTTATCATTCGTGTTATTATTTGCTAAAATTATTCTTTTTGTTAGTTGAAGTGGTAGTATTAGTAAAGGTGGGGGTAGTGTATATAGGGGGTAGTTGCAGGCATGGGTGGTGGTAGTGTGGGAAAAACGGTAGTGTTAGTGGTAGTGTCAGTGTTGGTTTTAGTGTGAAGGTCAGAGGTAGTGTAGTGATAGTGTTAGTGGTAGGTTATGGAGCCCCAAAAATATGTTTAGGGTTGAAGTTCAAGTTGTCAGAAAAGTTGGATAGCATTTTACCTAAAAAAATTTTCGGTTGTAAACTAACAATGTTCTAATGTTATATTGTAATATAAATCCCATGTAGTAGTAGAAGTAGTTGTAGTATTAGTAGCAGAAGTAGTAGTAGTAGTAGTTGTTGTTGTTGTAGTAGTAGTAGTAGTAGCAGTTATTGTTGTTTTAGTAGTGTTAGTAGTAATAATAGTAGTAGTAGTGGTGGTGGTGGTAGTAGTGGTAGTAGTAGTGGTTGTGGTAGTAGTAGTAGCTGTTTTAGTACGAGTATAAGCAGTGGTATTTTAAAACTAGCATTTAAACAAACTTTTTTCAAACCAAATTATTTAACATTGTAAAGGTTGAAATTATTTTTGCGAATAATATTTTTTGAAATAAAATTATTAAGTGAAATGAATAGAAATTTATTAATGAAACATGAATGGGATATCTTTAAGTTTTGAATTTGAAATATGCAAATCAGTCGAGATCGCCGAGTCACTCCAACAACATTTTGCCACAAAAACCTTTGTCCCACTTTTAAAATTCTTCTGATTCATTGTTATATTTTGTTGCAATTTAATCTGCCCTGTGCTTTTGAGTAGCAATCATTTGTCCCTCGTCAATGTTGTTCCTGAAGTTAGGTTCGTTCCATCATCTTTTATGTCTCAAACATCAGTTTTTATTGGGCTGGCAGTGTTTCGCTAATGCTCTGTTATTACTACAGTTACAAAACCTTTTGCCTCGTTTATATTTGGTTTAAAAATTATTTTACTCGTCCTATATATTTAATATGATATTTTAACATAACGGTTAAAGGATATAACTACCTTATTATTACGTGATGCATACGCAACCAATCAAATTCATCCTCGCTTCGATGACGTCACAAACAAACAGGAACGAAATGCTACGTGACTGAGAGTCTTCAACCAGCCTTAATATATCAGTGACGTAATGTCCAAATTTCAAATCTGGTAAGCCGTTGAGTTTGCGAAAGATGCTTCAATTCAGCTGGTTTTTTATACAATTTTGTCAGCAAAGTTTCATTGAAACAACGTTATAACGTTATGATTGGCAGTCCAAATTGTTAAATTGAATAGATGTTGAGCTGATTTGCTTATCATGCAGCATTTTGAAGTATTGTATTTTAATTTTAAAGTTCATTATTAATACAAAACATATATTCTTGCTTACAAACATGCACGTGATTACATACAAATACATCTGTATACATACAACCACACATTTGTGTGCATATGACAGTTTATTACATACATTGCATATAGTGCATAGAATATTATCAATTCAAGATGTTACAAATATTTTCAAAGTTTCAAAATCACATAATTTCAGTCGTGTGAAAATTAAGATGCAAACAACTCTAATGATATTTTTCCTTTAAGAAATTAAAAAACTTTAAAAAGATGATGTAGGTTAACGAAACACCCAACAATGCAATTTATTCTGTTTAATGGTTAATCTCATTGAAGTTTTATTAAGTCCAATTGGTTGAGAAGAGGTTGAAAAATACATGAAATATTTTTCCTTTAAGAAATTAAAAAACTTTAAAAAGATGATGTAGGTTAACGAAACACCCAACAATGCAATTTATTCTGTTTAATGGTTAATCTCATTGAAGTTTTATTAAGTCCAATTGGTTGAGAAGAGGTTGAAAAATACATGAAATAATTAGGGATGCACCGGATTCAGGTTTTTCAAATCCGGCCGGGGCCGGACTTGGCCGGATTTGAAATTCAAAAACCGGCCGGGGCCGGAGCCGGGGCCGGATTTTAGTTACCATTTTACATACGTTAGAAAAAATACTCACATTTATGGTTATCTACATGTTGAACATCAAAAAATAACACCAAGCAAATAGTTATTTAATTCAAATATATGAATAAGTTGTGTGATTCGCCAAATTCTTTACACAAAGATCAGCTTATAATTTATGCATATTTGCATAACCTAAGTTAAAGCACAAAGAAAATTGTCCAGCTCACCGCACAATTAGTGATGTTGTAATTATGTGTCATGTATACCTAACCTTTAACATACCACGTTCTTAAATTATGTGCTTATGTATCTCTCTCTCTCTCTCTCTCTCTCTCTCTCTCTCTCTCTAAATATATATATAGATATAGATATATATCTTTATTTATATATATATATATATATTTAGGAACGAGGTTTTCATTAATACATATTTTGTTAAATTTATTTGCCCATTTTGCATTTATCCATTTTTTTATTATGGACTCAACACAGCGTAGTTTTTGACATTCATATTTATTGTGAAATTGTGACATATTAGAAGCTGACAACGTTGTTTCGGCTAGGTAGCCATCATCAGAGCCTAAAACCAATGAAATATAACAACTACTCCAATAAAATAGTCGATGATACAATCAAGAAATATTTACATAAAATCAATAATATAACCAATACAACTCATCCAACAATAGCAACTAAAACAAAGATACCGTTATATTACATGAACCAAATGCACGACAACTACAAAGTGGATGAGACCCAACTTAAACGAATCGTTAAATCCAACATCTCCGTCTGCGACAATAACAATCAATTAAAACTCATCATATATTACAATACTAGTCGTACATCAAACTTCGTTATAAGGAATAGTCACAATCAACCAACACCTACGCTAGAGAGGACAAATGTTGTGTACCGTTTTATGTGCCCTATGCCACACAGTGTTGTGGAGAGTTATATCGGTCACACACGTACTACTCTCTCTCGTAGACTTACAATGCATATACAGGACGGTGCAATAAAGAACCATATGGTTAGTGAACACCATATGCCTCTCGCCAGGACCATTTTGGTTTCGAATACTACGATACTTGACACTGAAATGCATCCTGGTCGACTTAAAATCCGTGAGGCCCTGTATATCAACAAACATAAACCCACTTTAAACAAGCAATCAAGCAGTTTCGACCACATCCTACAACTATTTTCTCAATACCGGGATCAGGCTCTACTGTGTAACGTTGTACGTGAGCAACCGTACTTGCCTGTATCACCACGATATGAATATCATTCGCAGGCAGACAGCTTTCTACCGGTCAATACACAATTTATAAGTGTACGTCGGAAATCTACTACACTTACATCTTTAACTACTCTATTACAGTCTTAATTAAATTCAATTCCCATTACATAATTCATAGTACATTTATCGTATTTCATTTTATTTACTAACTTATTTATTTTAGTTTATTTTATTCCTACATACATTTTATAACCACATAATCTTAGTTATGCATTTAATTTGTGTAGAATATACTTAGCGTTCCATAATATTTTATACTAGTGATTACACCACATTCATCACACACGTATTGTTTATTTCCTATTCTTCCAACCATCCAGTTTATTTTTATTTATTTTACCTTTTATTAATTAGTAACTTTTATTTAATTTCATGTTTTAGTATTAAATTTATCTTTTAGGTTACATCCTTCGCAAGGTACCATTTTAACTTCACTTTCAATTCCAATTTTATTTTTAATACCTTATCTGTCATGTCCGCCAAATAATTTACATAATTCGTTTAATTCTCATTTATTTTAATTAAATTTCTTATATTTCATTGGTTTTAGGCTCTGATGATGGCTACCTAGCCGAAACAACGTTGTCAGCTTCTAATATGTCACAATTTCACAATAAATATGAATGTCAAAAACTACGCTGTGTTGAGTCCATAATAAAAAAGTTGATAAATGCAAAATGGGCAAATAAATTTAACAATATATATATATATATATATTATGTAACTATATGATCCGTCATGTGCAATTATCAATATAAAGTATGTACACGTGCACAAGTTCTTTTACACAAAGATCAGCCTATAATTTATGCATAACCCATGTTATAGCATAAAGAAAATTGTCCAGATCACCTCACAATTAGTGATGTTGTTATTATGTGTCATGTATGCCTTTAGCTTAGCTTTAGCCATTAACTTATTGACATAAAATTAATTGAATTCAATAAAAATTTTTTTTCTATTTCTAACATTTTTAAAAGTTGATAGACGCTTAAATCCGGCCCTAAATTCGGCCGGGGCCGGATTCGACCGGATTTGAAAAAAAAGCCGGATTTTGGCCGGAGCCGGGGCCGAACTTCGGTGCATCCCTAGAAATAATACAATGATTTGGCAAAATTAAATTCGTGGTAAGAAAAATTAAAATGCCAAGTAGCAAATGTATGTATGATTGCATGGTACAAACGATGTGTTAATCCACAGGACTTCACATTTAAATGCAAATGAACGGGAAAATGAACATACATACATACGTACGTACGTACGTACGTATGTATGTATGTATGTACGTATGTATGTATGTATGTTAGGGTGGTTCACATTTGAATGGGGAAAAAAATTTTTTGTCTGATTTGAGTGCACACCCTCTGAAAAGTTTCCATTGGGTCCTAAAAACTTACAAACCAAAAATAAGACAAATCAAATTAAATTTAGAGGTTGCTCATGCATCTCAAAATTATATAAAAATGTGATAATTCATTATTTCGAAACCAAATACAAATATAACTGGAAAAGTATCAAAAGTTGGTTACTTAATTTAAAACATAGATATTAGATATTTTAAAATGCATTATTATTATTAAATATTCTATAGTCACCATATTTGTTGTCAGCAAAAAGTAAAATAGGATAAATATCTGCATAATTTAACTGTGTCGATTTACTAGTAATTTGAGGTGATTTTGAAATACCGGTACTGTACATATTTAACTACGTATAAAATGGCTTCTAATTCAAACTGTGGTGCTCTTACAACACGCAGCATGACTAACATATGGCTGATTGGACAGTTACAAAGTGAACTTCCATTAAATGTATTATTGCCTACAACAGGTGATGTCCTGAGAATGTTTTTTTATTATCATCAAGTAGAAAAGAAAACTGTGCCTGAAAGTGCAAAACTGTCGTCAGATAAGGTCATGGACATGTGGAACAAGGCTAGAATACCAACAACCTACCTTACTCATGTTGTAGAAAAAGTAAAGTCGGTAGTTGATGACTACAAGCTAATAAAAAAGAACAAAAACAGACAAAGTGAAGCACAACGAGCACGAGAGAAGGAATTTGAAGAAAAGGAGCACATGCTGTTTGATATTGCTCACCAACACGCCATGCAGCTCATCCGAATTCAGGAAGATATAGAATTTCTTGAAGACCAGAGGGGCAGTCGACGAATGCAAATGAGTGGCATTGATAAAGACCTGACCAAGAAAGAAGAGCGCACAGAACAACGTAAATGCAAAGAAGAAGAGAGAAAAGAGCGAGAGCAGGAGCGGATGACAGAAAGTACCTCACTACATTTATCTAGTTCTGATGACAGTGATAGTGAACAGCAGGACACAGAGGACAACTATGAAATTAAAATTCCAGTGTACTACAAAAAGCAGATCAGTGAAGTAGAAGACAGTCTGTCAAGCAGTGCCAGCAAAAAAACACTAACTGTGCAGGATATGTTGTCGTCGCCAGATGTTGCTTCAGCACTGGATAGAATAAACCTGTCAGATAGAAAGTTCACAGTATTAGCAGCAGCCATTGCACAAGCTAGTGGGCAAGACATCAGGGATACATCTCTGTCACGTTCCACAATTCATCGTAAACGACAGCAACATCGTTCAACCATTGACAGCAGTATTCGTCAACAATTTCAGGATCGTGACAGAAATCCCCTTCTGGTTCACTGGGATGGGAAGATCATGAATGATGATCCACACTCCAGAACTGATAGACTGGCTGTTGTTGTGACTGGCTGTAATGTGGAGAAAATCTTAGGAATTGTTAAAATTGTATCAAGCACGGGACAAGCACAGGCCAATGCAACTTTTCAGTTGCTCAAATTATGGGACGTTAGTGAAGACATTATAGGCATGTGTTTTGATACTACTGCTGCCAATACTGGGACGTCAAGTGGAGCATGTGTTTTGCTGGAGAAACTGCTCCATAGAAATCTCTTGCACTTGTATGTATGTACCCTAACCCATATGTATGTATGTATGTATGTATGTATGTATGTATGTATGTATGTATTTATGTATGTATGTATGTATGTATGTATGTATGCATGTATGTTAAAACCAAATCATTGACGAATGACACCAAAAGCCAAGCGTCTGACTAAATTTGATTTTATTTGCTATAACGTCACTCAACCCCGTCGGCATTCAACTCCACATTTTCCAACACACAGACGCGCAAAAACCGCTGCAGGATGCACGAGATATTATTCATAGCAAAAAAATATTCCCTACTATCGCCTGACCTAATACTGATATTTTTACAAATTCGATTGAAAAACCCGGAGGTGTTACGGTCCATGGGGCCGAGGACCTCGATACAAATCGGTAAAAACTCCATCGAGGGGAGAGCTCCGTCGTACTTTTTGATCTTCTTGTCAGATGCTCTGGTTGCAGCCAAACCGCTTTCTTTGCTAGTAAGCTGCACGTAGCGCTCAGCAAAGGTGCCCGGAACGGTAACGTCCCACGCCGAGCACCTGCCGGCTCTCCAAGGGATCAAGGTACACCCGTCAGGGCTTTTACCGTCGTGCGCCGCAATGCCCGACGGTTCCTTTAAAACCGGAATTGAGGCCTTGGAGAAAAGTCGGCACACAAAATCGTTTATGGCTGAATGTTGCTGCTGGCGACCTCCGCCCAAACGACAAACAAGACCATGATGGCCGAGTTCATCCGCCTCCGCGCCGCACCTGCATGTATATCGACTCTGAACGGCCAACCCCAGACGGAAGCCAATGGCCGTCCTGACCGTTTCGTCGTCCAATCTGGTACCCACCGACGTATTGGGCAAAGATCTCAGCCAGCCACAACTCGCCTCGCTGGATACTGCCAGCAAGCGAGCTGAGGTCGCCGAGTCAGGGCTTGAGGAAAGCAACTCTTTGAATGTGCGTTTATATGCTTCCTCCAAAATGTTGCCCTGGGAAAGGTCTGTTGGTTGGATTGGAGTCGGTGGAGTACAGTGTAGGCTACTAAATTGCCGAAGAAGGGCAGATTGTAGGTCAAGCGTGGCAGATGCAGAAGATTTATAAACAATTGGTGCAAGCTGAACCACGCTTAGTAACCCCAGTCCCCCAAATCGTACCGGCAACTGATCCTGAGACCAACCCTTGTTGGTAATATCGACGTTACAAATTGCTGAGAGGGCCACCCGCAAAGCACCCTCAAATTCGCCCAAAATGGCCGCATTAACAAAGTTGGATGTGCGCAAAAAATACATCAATTTCGGCAAACTGAGGGCGCCGCGGATGATTGTCAGCGCGTCGTGGACCGGGAGAAGAGAGACACGTTCGAGGGCAAATCTTAGCTCAAAAAGTTTTTTATTAAAAAACCTGTCCTGATGATCGCCGGCCATCATTGGAGTGCCTAAAAAATTTAATGATGAATGGGGCACTGTGGGGACATTAGCCAGCACGTGTGGCATTTGAAACGTGTCATTTACAAGTAGTTCACACTTGTTTGTGTTTAATTCAAGACCAATGATGGAAGCGCCGACCCTCAGCGACAGGAAGTCGTCCTTGCTGTACGCCCTCGCACGATTTAACCACCCAGGCGTCGTAACCAAGAGAAGAGACTCGGCCATATGCGGAATGACAAAAATTATAAATTTGAGGACAGTGCTGCTTAACTGCCTCTAACATTGAGTCTCTTCTCAGGGTGTTGAAAGCGTTCTTGAAATCAATCTTCAAGAATCCCCACCGTTTTGGAAGTGCTGAAATCAGTTCACGTACGGCGTGGACGGCCGCCTCAGCACCACCTTTCACAACGACGCCCAATTTTATAGGATAGAGTTTGGCTTTGACCTGTTCCAACACTAGCGCCAGAGCGCACTTACTGGCCAGCTTCCTCCATTCCCCACCGCGATGGGTCTGATCCCTCCATCTTTTTTGTTTAAAGCCACCAGACGGCCCCCAAAAAAGAAACGGCTAACCGCGGGAGGGCAGACCCCAGATAACAACAAATTTACAAACCGGGTGAGGTTATTTAACAATTCATCGGTGGGCGTCGGACCGGAAAGTAAATCCTTTATGTGCTGAGGCCTCAAGCCATCAAGGCCTCCCGATGAACCATTATTAAACGACTTTAAAGCCGTCAACACCTGGGCTGGTGAAACGCGACCATTGGACGGCTCCTGCGCGGGGAAAGCTCGCCTGTTCAATGGAGCACTGGGATGAATAGCTTTGAGTTTAGCGAGTGTCTCAGGCGAGCTCTCCGCCAGGCCTGCGGGCGAATAAGCAAGTCTGACGGCCGCCGAGAGACTGCCCTGTTCAATCCGACTGGTTACTGCACTAATCCAACTGTTTGGATTGTGCTTACGCGGTTTGGTGTTGTGGTCAGTGTTGAAGCTTGCCACAATAATCTCGACCTCGGTCTAACTGAATTCGGCCAACCGTTTAATAACGTAATTGGCTTGATTAGTCCTGCGACCGCCCCTGGTGGGCTTGAACAAAACAAATGTGAAAAAACATTGGAGCCTGCACCAATGGGCCGCGTCGCAGGGATCATCGCAAACGGCCGTCAATAAAGCCGACAATGCTTTAGATAACTTGTTTCTGCACGGTTTGGGAACGTGATCATACAGATGGGCAGTCCTCAAAACGACCGTCAGCCTGTCAAAAACATGAAAAAAATCCACTTGGGAGGGACTCTCCGAGACTGACGCCGGAGAACCGCGTGTAACAACATGAGGATTGATGACAGGTGCAGCGGTAAGAGGCGGTCGCGCGGAAGCGGATGAACCCGCCGGAGGCTGGTCGGCTGCCTTGAACGAACCAGGGCATTCCTGGCCCTTCACTTTGCCTCCATGTCGATATAGTTTACCGTCCGGTTTTATTTTATAATGATTTAAACAAACCGTGCATTGGTATAGGACCGGTGCCATTAAGTCAACGAAATAAAATCAAAAGCGTGTAGATAAAACCGTGTGAACAGTGATAAAATAAAATTGTGGTGAAAATAAAAAAGGTTAATTTAAATAAATTTAAAAATTAAAAGAAAAACTAGGAATGAAACAGAGAAAACAAAAATAAATATTAATGAGCATTGTACGGTGCAGCTGGGTAAAAGCCCACAGCTGTTGTTAAAGTATGGTAAAGCTAAAATTAAAAATTTGAGACCACAAAAGGTAAAAAACCAACCGAACGGCGGGACACTAATCCGAAAAAGGGCAAAAAACGACAACCTATAAAAACCACACCAGAAAAACCGAAATTATTGCAACAAAAACCTTAAAAACCAGAAATATTACTAAAAATTAGCGAAATACTAAAAATGTGGAAGCCGACACGAGCTGAGCGAAATGTATGTATGTATGTATGTATGTATGTATGTATGTATGTATGTATGTATGTATGTATGTATGTATGTGAGCTTGCCCATTTTCCGTCCGCCGGTTCTTTTTTGGAGGCCGGCTAATAGCTTTAAATAAGAAAGACGGAGGGATCAGACCGATTGCGGTCGGGAACGTTTGGAGGAGGTTGGCCGGCAAATGTGCCTTGGCCCTGGTCGTGGTCGAACTCAAGACCAAGTTCTACCCGACTCAGTTGGGTGTCGGGATTAAGGGTGGCGCTGAGGCCGCTGTTCATGCGGTTCGAAGATTGGTCACCGACCTCCCCGATCAATGGGGGTTTCTGAAACTGGACTTTAAAAATGCCTTCAATGCCTTGAGAAGAGACTCGATGTTGGAGGCTGTCAAACTTTTTTGCCCCAATATCTATAATTTTTGCCATTCTGCCTATGGCGGAGTCTCTTCCCTTGGCTACCACTCTTGGGTTGTAGAATCGTCCGAGGGGGTACAGCAGGGTGATCCCCTTGGTCCTTTGTTGTTCGCACTAACTCTTCATCCACTCTTAGAGAAAGCTTCGTCCACTTTCGTTTGCGCTTATCTGGATGATATCAGCATAGCTTCGGACAGTTCAACTCTGGCCGATAGCTACGAATATTTGAAGCATAACTCCGCTGCAATTGGCTTAGAGTTAAACATTAAAAAATGCGAACTTCACTGCCAAAGTTTATTTCAGGTGCCACATGCGCTGGCTGAAATACCCAGAGTTGGTGCATCAGAACTGAGTTTTTTAGGCACACCCTTGGTCGAGGGCGATTATCAAATAAAGTGTTTTGACCAAAAGCTCTCTGAGCTTAAATTCGCCCTGGTTCGTGTTTCCTGTCTTTCGGCCCATGATGCCTTGACTATTATCCGCAATGCCCTCAGTTTGCCCAAATTGATGTACTTCCTGCGTACATCTAAACACATTGACCCTTCTAAATTGGGCGAATTTGACGGAGCCCTGCGCACCGCCCTGCCGTCGATTTGCAATGTTCAGGTGACTGACAGTGGTTGGTCCCAGGCTCAGCTGCCGGTGCGATTTGGTGGGCTGGGGTTGCTTAGCGTGGTTCAGCTGGCTCCCGTTGTTTATAATTCTTCTGCCGCTGCCACTTTCGACCTGCAGTCTTCCCTGCTCCACCGGTTTTTTCGTTGCCGCGATATTCTTCCCCCAGTGTCCGCCCCGGGGGACCGTACGCACGTCCAAATTTTGAACGAAGAATATAAAAAAATGTTTCAAAATTTGTTGTCTTCATGCGGCGACGACTTTTCCACCGCTCGTTTGTTGGCCATGTCTAGCGTTGCCAGCTGTGGGTGGTTGAGATGTGGCCTAACACCTCTGTGGGCACCAGGCTTGACGACGAGTCTGTGAGATTTGCCATTGGCTTCAGACTTGGCCTGGTCATTCAGAATAAATACACGTGCCGATGTGGCGCTGGGGCGGACGAGTTTGGGCACCACGGTTTGGTTTGTCGCCTGGGTGGGGGCCGTCAACTACGTCACTCAGCGCTAAACGATTACATTTGTCGGCTCTTCTCCAAGGCTTCAATCCCGGTTCTCAAGGAACCATCCGGCATTTCTGCGCATGATGGTAGGCGCCCGGACGGATGCACGCTAATACCTTGGAGAGCCGGCAGATGTTTGGCGTGGGATGTTACGGTCCCTGGCACCCTCGCCGAACGATACGTAAACCTGACAAGTAAAGAATGCGGTTTGGCCGAGGCCAGGGCAGCGGACGAGAAAATGAAAAAATATGGGAACGCCCTCCCCTCGATGGAATTCTTGCCAATATTCATCGAGGTTCTTGGCCCGATGGACCCCAAACACCCTTAAATTTCTTAAGGAAATATGCAAAATGATTAGCGTCAGATCAGGCGACAGCAGGGAACTGTTTTTCGCAACTAACCACATTTCGTGCTTGTTGCAGCGGTTCCTGCGTGTCTGTGTGCTTGAAAATATCCAACTGAATGCCGACATGTGCAATTAACGACAAATCAAAGTGTTAATCCATTTGTTACTTGATGTTTGACGGTTCAGTGTCACTCATGATGTTTTGGTTTTAACATGTATGTATGTATGTATGTATCTATGAAAAAATGGCGTCGAGACCGGTAAAAATAAACGAGCTCCTTTATTTTATTAATAATAATTTAAGTTTAATAGAGGAAGAATCATTTATTAATAATACTAGTGAATTTTATACTAGTGACAATATCGTTTTAGCAATTAAAACATTAAAATGTGAAATAGACTCACTAAAACTGGATAAAATGGAAAAATTCCCTCGCGCGGGAATGCAAAACGTGAAAAACTTCTGGAATGCTTGACTTTATTCAGGTATATTAAAAATAACAATTTGTTGGATAAAATAGCATTATTTTGCAGTTCTGATATAAATAAAATACCAAACACGGAAAACTGGCTGAAAATAAATTTCGACTTCGTTAACAAACAAATAAAAGAAATGTTGGTCGCTCAACAAGCTGAGATAAAATGTTTTTGTCTTATACTACCGAGTTGGATAATGTTAAAAATAAACTTAATTCTCTTGTTGCAAACAATGTTGGCAAAAAAGTAAACGTTGACTCAGTAATCTCTAACAATGTAAATAACACGTTGCCCCCAGTTAACCAAAATGCGCCAGGAATTTTGTGGGCGGACGTCGTGTCATCACCCACTCTGGACGAAGCGTTCACGTTGGTGAAGCGGCACAACAAACGTCCACGTTTGAATGTCTCATTGGAGGTCAACAACAACGGGGGAACCACTTCAATCAACAACAACGGCGAAACCACTTCAAACAACAACAACGAAAACACGGCAAACATCAAGACAGCTAAAAAACCAACAAAAGTTATTAGCAAAAAAGTTGTTGAAGATTGTAAATTGAGGGCAGACAAAAATTTAATTAAAAAATCTGTGTTCTCAATGAGCAACATTAGTAAATGCCATCGAAGAGATGTTGTTGAATTTTTGACGTCAAATGGAATCAATGTCATCACATGTTATCCTGTTTTGAAAAAAACAGAAATATCGTCGGATAAAAATTTTGACAAAGATGACCAGGAATCAACAATGTTCAGAGTCTGCATCGATAGCTCAGATGTCGATAAGATGAAGGATCCTGACATTATGTTGAAAAACATTATTGTGCGCGAATGGCGCTTCAATCAGACGAAACCTGATGCTAATACTCTGAATGGAAAGTAAGATTTTAAATAACCAATTTTTAAATAATGAAGAACAATTGTTACAAAATTCAATAATGTTTGACGATCCAAAGTCAGTCAATGCTAAATATCAATCTTTCATTTCTGACGTGAGTAATTCAATGCTAAACGTTATGCACTTGAATATAAGAAGTCTAATAAACAAAACTAACGAACTTTATGATTTCTTAATGAATTTTTCCTTCAAATTTAATGTCGTAGCAATAACAGAGACCTAGCTGAATAATGACCATGATGTTGAAATGGAGGGTTATCATTTTGTTGGAAAAAATCGATGTGGTAAGCATGGTGGTGGTGTCGGTTTTTATTTGGAAAATAGTTGTTTATAAAATTCGAAATGATTTGAATCTTATTGGTTGCAAAGACTTCGAAACATTTTCAATCGAGCTAATTAATAAAGATTCAAAAAAAAATTCGATAATGATCGTAACTTACCGACCTCCGTCTCAAGATCCAAAATTTTATATCAATCAATTAGAACAGTTGTTACACGCTGCGAACAATGAAAATAAATTTATCTGTTTAATGGGGGATTTCATCTTCAACTTATTTTCCGTAGAAGAAGACAACAGCACAACTAATTTTTTACATCTCACTTCATGCTACAATTTATCACCGATTATTACAATTTCAACAAGAACCAGCATTAGAAAGCAATCAGTGATAGACAACATTTTTGTGAACTGTTTAAAACCTTCAAGACTGAATGGCGTTGTGATGTGCGATCTATCAGATCACTTTCCGATTTTTGCTTCAATTGATGATGGAAATAGAAGCATTGATGTGAAAGATTCAACACAAATGACATTCTCTTTTTCAAGACATCATCTGCGGAGATTGAATGAACGTTTGCAATTTTCGGACTGGAGTGAAGTTTTTGATTGCATCGATGTTGATATGGGGTTTGAATTGTTCATCAACAGATTTCAATCCTATTTCTATGATGCGTGTCTGATAAAATCAAATAGAAAGAAAAACAAACTCTCCAAACAAAAGCTGTGGTTCACTGCAGAATTTAAAAAATTATTAAAAAAGAAAAAATGTTTATTTAAAATATATCTGAAAAATCCGTCAGAAGATGGACTTTTAAAATTCAAGACTTGTAGTAAACTGTGTACCAACTTAAAAAACAAATTAAAACGTAGATACTACACCAACCAAATTGAGCAAAATATAAACAACAGCAAAAAAACTTGGTCAATAATTAAGGAAGTATCGAATAGATCCAGTAGCAATAAAACGAATTTGCAAGTAACTTCAAATGAACAAATAATTGAAAATCCAGAAAATTTTTTGAATGATTATTTTATCAACATAGCACCAAATCTGCTTAAATCATTTCAAACAAATAATCAATGGAAAAAGTTTCTTGGCAACAAAATACCAAACTCGTTTTTTTGCCTCCACGCATCTGCAGAAGAAATTATTTTCGCAACAAAATTGCTGGCTCCAAAATCTTCTAGCGGCTGGGATAACATTCCAACAAAAATAGTCATATCAACAATCCACTCCACAGCCTGGGTTCTCGAGCACATCACCAATCGCTCACTTACAACAGGTATTTTTCCTAGATGCTTCAAAACATCTAAAATCATACCGTTACAGAAAGTAACCGGAAATAATGATGTTTCTAATTTTCGACCCATCTCATTAGTTCCTGCATTTTCGAAAATAATTGAAAAAATTATGCATAAACGAATAATATTGTTTCTAGAAAAAAATAATATTCTATCATGTTACCAGTTCGGGTTTCGAGAAAAACATTCAACAGAACTGGCAATAATAGAACTCGTAAGGAAAATTGGAAAGCTTGCGGAGAAAAAACAATTCATCGTAGGAACATGTCTAGATCTGTTGAAAGCTTTCGATTGTATTGATCATTCCATCCTGTTGGGTAAACTTGAACACTATGGCATTAGAGGAACGACTTTGAAATGGTTTGAAAGTTATTTATCTGAAAGAAAGCAGTTTGTCAGCTGGGGAAATAAAAATTCAACATTACAACATAATGGTGTTGGAGTCCCACGTCTTGAGACCACTACTTTTCATCTTGTTTATCAACGATTTGCCAAATGCATCAAACTACTTTGATTATGTTTGTTTCGCAGATGACACCAACATTTTTGGTAGCGGAACTTACATCGATGGTGTTATTGACCGAACAAATGTTGAATTAAAAAACATCGTCAAATGGTTCAACGACAATAAATTAGCGCTGAATACTTCAAAAACCCAAATGATCGTCTTCGGTCCAGTGCAGTGTTTAAACTATAAAAAACCGTTCAAAATTACAATTAACAATCAACAAATAGTCGAGAGCAAAATAGTAAAATTTTTGGGTGTCCTCTTAGATCAGAAACTAACGTTTAAACCCCACGTCAATCACAATTCAACCAAGTTGGCCAGATCAATAGGAATAATAAATAGGATAAAGTTTTATCTCCCAAAAAAATGTTTAAATCTTCTTTATAACGCCATCTGTCTGCCCCATGTATCATACTGCAACGTCATTTGGGCCAGTGCTTACCCATCAACTACCATGTCTGTAAAAGTTCTGATGAAAAGAGCAATTAGGATCATCACGCTTTCTCGAAAAGATGCTCACACACCTCAACTGTTCAAATTAACTAATAATTTAGATTTTGATAAATTAAATTTATATTTTACAGCCAATTTTGTATATAAACAACTTTCAAACAAACTTCCTTCTATTATCGCTTTAAATTTCTAATTATTATATTGATTTCTTGATTGAGGAATTGGTTGATTGCTTTATTGATTGATCTCATTGGAAAAGTCGCATCTAATTTACTCACTTGAAAAAATTCACAGACATCAGTATATATTTTCTATGTATTTAATTACTGAATGTCCTGGTTATGACATTAAACTGACCCTCACTGCCTTGTGAGGGATGTTGGATCATCAAAGGCTAGGCCCACCGCTTATAACTGTGGTTGCGTAAGGAAGGGCGTCCTGCGTAAAAATTAGCCAAATAAATTACTTATGATGGAATGGCATCGAGGGGTATTTCGGTGTCATCATAGGTAGCCAAACGGCAACCCCCGATCTCGGGGAAAATGTCGTCTAAACGTGTGTTGTTGTTGTTGTTGTATTTAATTACTGTGAGATCTACTATTTATGTCGTTCTATATGTTGCTTAAATATATAGATAACTATGTAATGTCTATCCCGTGTTTTTCTGGATAGATACCAAACATTGTTATACATAAACCGTGAACCATCGTACTAACAACTAACACCTGTTTTGCTAACATAGTTGAGTTCGTTAACTTACTAACAACTAACATCTAACATGCCTCTCATAGATCATTTGGGGAAAATTTTTATTATTTGCTGAAAAACTTTTGTACGAACATAGAACATTTTTGTTTAGGTGGCCATACTAGTTAAATTTTTTATAAATTCTATTATGGTCATCCTGCTTTCTTTTAATATTTAATTTTGAGAAGCAAATAAAATTTCGTTTCGTATGTATGTATGTATGAACCCGTAATTGATTAGAACTATAGGGAAGTAATAATCATATCCGGGTTCAGCTTTAATCTCTGTTAAACGCTTCGCACAGACAGGTATTTTAACGCTCCATCCAAAATACAGAAAGAATTATATTTTTGAAGTAATATAGAAAAGGATTGCTTTACATAACTCTTATCTAATGGGTCACCCGATACTTCTACAATCCTGCTACAGAGTTCATTCAGAAAACTCTGAGTCTGAGCATCGGTTGGACCAAAGGTCTCAATGCAGACTGGCTGAAAAATTTTGCTTTCTGCAAGAGCCGCATATTTTGAATTTTTAAAGTCTGCGGCTCTTAAGGCAGCGGCACCCGCCTCCTGTGAGGTAAGATTAATATACCTTTCAGCCATGGTGTGAGGGAACGTAACATCCCAAGCAAGTGAACGTCCCTGCGCCCATGGTGAAATAGTATACCCATCGGGCCTGAGGCTACCTTCCTCCATAAGACCCGTGGGTTCTTTAATTGTGGGTATGTTTGCCCTCTGAAAGCACCTGACCAAAAAGTCGTTCATGGCCGAGTGTCGAGCCTGTCTACCAGGGCCCAATCGACACGAAAGACCATGGTAGCCCAGGGGTTCAACATTGGCCCCACATAAACAAACATACTCGGTTAAAATGGGTAAACCGAGTCTCATTCCCAAACTGACAGGAACACAAGAGTCGTCCAGCCTGGTACCACTGGCGGAATTTGGGACTGCCTTCAACCAAGATGATCCCAACTCACTTTTTACAGCCATTACAGCCTGGCTTTATCAAAATTTGATTGGTTCAAATCCAGCAGCTTAGCAACTGAGCTGCTGATAAATGGAGCGTTCCACTCCTTTTGAGAACTGGTTTCGATACAAATCCCCGCTCCGTGGACGGTCCGGAACCCATCAAAAACTTGGGTTCTGAGATGGTCAGAATATATTTTATCCCTGGGCAACAACAAATTTTGGAGAGGAACCGTGGCAGCAGCAGAAGCCAAGAAGGCAGAAGGTGCTAAATCCACCACGGTATCTAAACCTAAGCCACCAACCGAGATGGGCAGGGTTGCCTGTAACCAACCTTTCGGGTCAAGGGAAACGTTGAAAATCGATTGGAAGCCGTCACGGAGAGTTTGATCAAAACATTGAAGCATCAAATTATCGAGGCTGGGCGACGTTCTTAAAAAAAAGTCAAACGAAGCAAGTACATCGCGTGCAACAGCAAGGTCAAGGCATCATGCTTCAAAACTACCTTCAGTCTAGACATAATAAATTTAAATTTTTCTAATTTTTCACTCCAGAAAATATTACGTTTATTGCAAGGAAATAGGAAAGAGCCTAGAAAATCGATGTCATTTTCAGGAAACTGTTTAATTATGAAAAATTTTCTATTAAGTTTGGATGATTTGTGAAGAATTCGCATTTTTTAAAGTTTAATTTCAAACCCAAATCAGTCTCACGACCCACAATTGAATTCAAATCCCTCAGCACATTTTCAATCTTTCCACCAAGTGAAATGTCATCCAAGTAGGCGACAATGAATTTGGATTCCAAAGACTTCAACAGATGGTTGATTGCAAGAGAGAAAAGCAATGGACCCAGTGGGTCACCTTGCTGAACTCCTTCCTCTGACAAAATCTTTGTGCCACTAAAAGACAGAATAGATGGCTTATCATAAGCCGACAAACAAAAGTTGTACAACTCTGGCACAACCGACTTCACAGTGAGCAGCAAGTGATCCCGCCTTAGGGAGTTAAACGCATTGGAAAAATCCAGTTTCAAAAAAAATTCATCATCATCCATGTTATCAACAAAACGTCTAGCGGCGTGAATCGCTCCCTCTGCGCCACCGCTAACACCAACGCCCACCTGCTGAGGTTGAAGCAGGGGGACAACTCTGTCTTTAATGATGTGCATGGCACATTTCGCAGCCAAACGCCTCCAAACACAACCAACTACAATTGGCCTGATACCCCCATCTTTTTTTAACAGAGCAACCAGTCTTCCATCAAACAAAATAAGAGCCACCTCTGGCGGACAGTTCCCGCTTAGAATCAGGTTGACAAATGAGGCAATCAAATTCACTAGATCAGAAGAGTCTGATTTTGAAGACGTAACGTCTCTTAGATGTGCAGGCGTGAGACCATCTCTGCCGCCAGAAGTTCCCTTAGGAAAAGACTTTAAACAGTGCAGCACCTGTTGTGAATTAACCGTTAAGCTTGAAGCCTTTTTGGGTAGACATTCCTTTCTGTTTGAGGGAGAGTTTGGATGTTTCTCCCTTAGGGAACCTATGGTTTCTTCCGTAACCGGTGCAACTGTATCTGTTGAAGACAATAGCTGTAGCGCGTTTCGAATGTTTCCCTTTTCAATCTTGGATCTAACGGATGAAATCATTTTAGCTTCGGCTGAAACTTTTTTGCTTTACTTAACAACAGGCTCCAAGGATTCCACCATCCTCTCCACCGAACAACCGCCGAATGCATCCAATCTCTGGGTAATAACACTTGTTGGGTTGTGACGTTTACTCCCTCGAGGACTCCTTCTCAGAACCATTGAGGGCAGAAATAACAGCTTATACCAACTTGGAGGCGAAAGAGGTTTTTCGATAATTTCATTCAAAACCTTGGCCATCACTTGACTAAATTTGGGTCTGCACTGCTTGGGAAGATGATCATGCAAAACAAAAATTGGCAGATCTAGAAAAAAATTCATCCGCCATGTCGCATTTTGTGGCAAGCACAACATGATTTTTCTTGATAGAAAGATTACCAGCATTTCCCAAAGACATACGTTTTAGCACCACCAGAGGCCTGGCGAGAGAGCCGGGACACTCAGAACCCTTAACTTTTCCCCCATGGCGCATAAGTGCCCCATCTGGGCGGGTACGAAAATGCATATTGCAAACATGGCAACGGGTAAGACCTGAGCCAGTTGCTTGACTAGGAGACATAATGCAGGATGGAGCGCCTGAACGGAATGGTTCAACCAAGGTTAACAAGTCAAGCCAATTCAAATATTGGCGTAGTTAAAACCAAGTTAAAATCAAACAACCTAGAGGGAACGAAAACAAAAAATGGTTTGTTTTCGTTCAAAACAAGCAAAATGGAATTGTGGTGTAGAAAAACGTGTACCACTTGATAAAAGGGACAAGCCAGGTGTGAGTGTGGTATAGAGGACAGATACCACTTGACCAAACAAAATGGGAATGTGATTTAAAAACGGATAACAAATACCGCTTGATAACAAAATGGGAATGTGGTATAATGGACGGATACCACTTGGTGATGGCAACAAAGTGGGAATGTGGTACAACAACGGATACCACTTGATGGAAAGAGCGAACAAGATGGGATTGTGATATAAAAGACAAATACCACTTGATAACAAAAATGGAATGTGGTACAGCGGACCAATACCACTTGATGAAGGCAACAAACCAAATGGAAATGTGGTATAAAAAGCGTGGTACAAAAATTTTATTTATTTATTAATTAATTTATTTTTTATTTATTTTTTTTCCTTCCCTTTTCTTTTCCCTTTTTTTTATTTTTATTATATTATTTATTTATATGTATGTATGTATGTATATATGTATGTATGTATGTATGTATGTATGTATATATGTATGTATGTATGTATGTATGTTCATGCTCGCAGGATCTCTTCTTTTTATGTTGCAGTGGCAGTTTGGATATGATGAATGTAGGATGGGAAATGATGATTTAAATGTGGTCATAGATTGATGGATTGGTCGACGCCGTGTGGTTTCGTAAGAAAAAAAAAAGAATAAGTCGGTTAAATTAGTAGTGTCCAAAAAATGAACCACCGAACAAATGAACGCACGAATAAATGAATGAACCAACAAATGTTGAAAACGAGATTAAAACTCCGCAATTATTTCTGATGTGCTAATTTAGAAAAAAGTTAGGTGCATTTATCACTAACAAAATAACTTATTATAATTAATTTGTCATGATGTGTTAACTAAATATTTTTATACCAAATCTATTGAGAAAAATTTAACCGGTAACTATCATTGTATATAAAAAAAAGTTAGGTGCACTTATGTTTCGGCATTTAAATTTGAACAATCTTTAAAGTTATTTCTCTGCAAACCTTTAATTGTATTGGGTGCAGTAATAAAATATTGAAAATCCTCGAAAGCTAAATTCTGGCAACATCGAACCATCTCTCTAGTGAAATAGGCATTTTGTTATTTTATTGTGCTACTGAAATAATGTTAAAATTTTTACTAAAAGTGTGTGTTTTGATATCTTTGGTTTTGCATTATCATACCTTCGAAACATCTCTTACTAAGTTTGCGCTTCAAAGTTTTGTGCCAATAACTCCCTGAAATCTGCACCACGCAAGTACCGCAACAAGTAGGTACCTGCCGCTATGTGATGGTTAAGTTTCAAACAATCAGCTTAAAGAGGTCAGCGCCAATCAACACACAAGTCTAGGCACACTAACATTACGAGTTAAAATGCTAATTCATTTTTTCAAATTTATTTATTTTTAAACATAACTTTTAAATTAAATTTAACATTTGCTAGTTAATTATATTGAAGTTTTTGTTCGTAAAAAGGGGCACATCAAACATCTTGCCGGCAACATTGTTCTGTACAACCTCGTGCACGCTTCCTTCTTTTCTACTAAAATAAATGGAAATCTTTCAATTTTATTTTCTCGCAAATGGACAAACACACAAATTTTTATTTTGCAAAATCTTGTCGTTTTTCTCATTTGTTTAATGTTTTACGTTATTCTTTTATGTATTTCCATTACCATGCATCCACGATGAGGACGCGTTAACACACGAATTCATCTTTTCACTCACTCATTCACTCACTCACACACACTTACACACATACTCATACGCCCAAACACACACATGTGTGTTATGTGAGTGCATATTAAACACACACTTTAATCCAATCTATTGTTCTTTTAATGCATTTGAGAGGTACATCCATATACACAACACAAAACGACCACACAACATTTTACACACATACATGGAATACATCGTCGAATCGACGAATTGGGTCATCGGTGAGTCCTAGAATGAGCAAAAAGTCCTATCCTTGACGAACATTTCCGTGCACAAGTTCCACAAATCCATACACCTGTACTATCGCCGCTTTGAGCCGTCTGTTTTCGTCGAGTCCTTTTTTCAGCGAGAGCAGCTGTGCGTGCCAGTTCAAAAGCTGAAACCGCCGACTGGGTAGACCTTCTCCATTCCAAGCGTAGCAGAGCATCAACGCAAAGAGCCTTGGCGTCTAGACCACATTTTTTTATATTTTCTTTAAGGCTGTCTTTGTATCTGCGTACTTGCCAGTCTATTTACACACATACACACACAAACACAGACAAACCGATGACATTTAACACAAACAAACATACACATGTGTATGAGCTATGTCATCAACATCTTGATGTCTATGGTGCTATGCATATGCCCGTGCATATTAAACTGGCTCTAATCTATTGTTCTGAGATGTACACTGACATATATGCGCAACACACCTCGATACACCACCACACAAACACACGACATTTGTCACACACTTTGGTGTGTTTTCTTGTTGCACGCTCGACCTGCAGTCTGCCCTACTCTGGCAATCTTTCACAAATCTTGGTACCCCACCAGCATCACCCAACCGAGCCAAACATTTTCAAGCTCAGATGCTGGAAGAGGCATACAAAACAACTTTTCAATTTTTGTCGTCCTCCACTCCCGACGATGCAACTTCGGCTCGTCTGCTGGCCGCGTCAAGTGACGTGAGCTGCGGTTGGTTGAGATCCTGGCCCAACTCATCGGTGGGTACCCGACTAGATGATGAGACAGTCAGGATGGTCATTAATTTTCGTTTGAGTTTAACGGTCCACCAAAAATATCTGTGTAAGTGCTGTGCGGAGGCTAACGAACTTAGTCACCCCGGCCTGGTCTGTCGTTTGGGTGGCGGTCGTCAGTTGCGCCATTTTTTGCCATGAATTATATCTCTTGTTTGCTGCAAAGGTTCTTTCGCGTCTGTGTTACCGAAATGTTCAATTAAACGCCGACGTGAGCGAATAACGAGATATCAATTGTTAACCGATTTTATTCAGATGTTTGACTGTTTAGTGTCACTCGTACATACATACGTACTATTTCACCATGGGCGCAGAGACATTCCCTTGCTTGGGATGTTACGTTCCTCCATACCATGGCTGAAAGGTACATTAATCTTACTTCACAGGAGGCTGGTGCCGCTGCCCTAAGAGCCGCAGACTTAAAATTCAAAATATGCGGCTCCTGCAGATAGCAAAATTTTTCAGCCAGTCTGTATTGAGACCTTTGGTTCAACCGATTTTCAGACTCAAAGTTTTCTGAATGAACTCTGTAGCAGGATTGTAGAAGTATCGGGTGAACCATTGGATAAAAGTTATGTAAAGCAATCTTTCTCTATTTTATTTCAAAAATATAATTCTTTCTGTATTTTAAATGGGGCGTTAAAATACCTGTCTGTGCGAGCGAGGCGTTTAACATAGATTAATCCGGATATGATTATGACTTCCTTATAGTTCTAATCAATTACGGGTTCATACGATACGATACGATACTTTTATTTGCTTCTAAAAAATTAACAAAAAAAGAATAGAAGACAGGATGACTATGATCAAGTTATCATGTAACTCATCTAGCATAGCCACCTTGCAATAAGTTTCAAAAAAATAAATAAAAAACCAGTCTGATATAATACAAAGTGATCAAATTAAAAAAAATGAAATTATTTTTGTAATCTAAATCACAACAAAAAAAACTCGAATCGTTCAAAACAGCTTCTGCATTATTTCAATCAACACAACTTTCTGTCAAAATATCAATCGGATTTCAAAAAACTTCACTCAACTGAGTCTGCGTTGATTGATGTTGCATCAGAGTTGTTTGCAACTATGGATGGTCAAAATATCTCAGTTCTTGCTCTACTCGATGTGACTGCAGCATTTAATTACGTTAATCATGCGATTTTACGGAAAAAACTTGAAAGTTCTTTTGGAGTCTCAGGAGTTGCACTGAAATGGTTAGAATCATATTTTTTAGAGCGTAAACAACAGGTTTCATTCAAAAATAAAACATCAAATATCTATGAACTCAACTATGGTGTACCTAGGTTTCAGTTTTGGGACCACTTTTGTTTTTACTATACACGAGTGAATGTCACAATCAGCTTCGAATGTTGAGAACAATAAGACGTTCATTAAATGAAACCACTTTAAAAAATCTAGCTCATGCATTCATTCATTCAAGACTAGACTATTGCAATAGTCTTTTTTATGGTGTACCAAAAAAATTAATTTCTAAATTGCAGTCAATCCAGAACAGAACTGCTGACTGCTAAGCTTATTGCTGGAGGCTTAAAATTCGAACATATTACGCCAATACTACGTGAGCTCCATTGACTTCCAATAGATGAAAGAATAACTTATAAATTGGCTGTAATGATGTTCAAAATTGTTAACGGAGTGGCACCTACATATCTAGTTGAAAGATTGTCTGTTAAAGCACCACATTTGGGACGTTTGCGATTGAGATCCGACTGCACGCATCTACTGAATGTACCTCGAACCCAGTTAGTGACTGGTGGAAGAAATTTTGCAGTGGCTGGACCCATGGTCTGGAACAGTCTGCCTCCTAGTCTTCGTCTACCTGAACTCTCGCTTTCTGATTTCTGCAAACAATTGAAAGCGCACTTGTTTAAACAACATTTTTATTTTTGTATTTGACGATCAACTTATTACGATATGTTTTTTTATTCTTATTTTTGTTTGTTCTACTTGTAAGTGCTTTCGAGAACTTTTTGTTTTAAAAAGCGTTGTATAAATTTTTGTATAATAATAATACATACATACATTATTATTATTATTTATATTATTATTAAGAAAAAACTTAATAAGCGTTCGTTATAGCAGTTTTCACAAACATTTTCAGATTACAACCAATTATCATATAAAAATAACAAGAATGAAAAGAAATGAACCATGATAAAAAAAAAGACATGTCTTTAGTTGTCTTTTATAGTCGAATTGAAATAGCTTCGGTTTACCTGATAACATAATTAGAATGTCGTCTGTATATGCATGGCTTTTAAAATCATAGGAATCAATTATCTTCAGCACATCAGATGTATAAAGCAGAAACAATAAAGGACCCAAAACAGATCCCTGCGGCACACCAGAGCGAACCACACTGACGTAGAACAAACTCCCGTTGAACGAACCCCATTGTGTACCTGTACATACATATATACATACACACACACAAGCACACACAGAGAGTCACAGATAAATAAATTGAAAAATTAATGTAGACTGACTAAATCAATTAAAAGAAAAGAAAATATTTTAGAGCCTTTCAGAAAAAAGTGTTTAATTATTTTTTCAATCTGTTCATTTGCATAGAAAAAAGACATAACTATCGAGTAGCCACACAATCAACACATTAGGAAAAGACCTTCTTAACGAGACATCTCAAACATATTAGCACTAAATAAAACTTTATCATTCACTCAATCTAGTTATCCTTTTGCTTATTGATCACCTCACTAAGTCACAATCTAGTCCACAGATGAATAACTTTATTAATTCGCTTTTTTATACCATTACTTTATTTTATTTTCAATACTTTTCATGTTTAAACGATTTTCTTGTTCCGTTATTTATTTTTTTTTTTCGTTACCATTTTATACTGCTGCCAACAATCAGATCCTGATCTTTTAACATAAATTCTTTTTTATTTGGTATTGGGTTTATAACACACACACACAACACACACACATGAATCATTTAAACGAAAATACAGTGAAACCAAATTAATTGTGGAAACAATTTTTCAATTTTTGCCAAAAATTATTATTATTGTTAATCTATCATCAATCCATTAATACATAAAGCGCTATTTCACGCCAACTCTTAATTTTTTAAAGAGTAATGAAAAATTTATATAAAACTACAATTTAGTATCTTTCATAATGAATTATGACGTCAAGATAATCGTTTTGCTTGTTTATTTACATAAAAAAAATTTTAAATTAAAAATAATGGAATTAAAAAACAACAAAAAAGAAATTATTGAATTTCTGAGAATGTTGGTTGGTCACATCTTAACCATTCATTTCTGTTACTTGAGTGTAACACTGGCAGAGTTCAACGTTTCAGATGCCTACATCGGCTGTTTCAAATTCATCAGCTTCAATAATTCTCAACCTATTGTCGTTAATAGCATTGAAGAATGTTCCAGAACTTTGACTGACCTGGGAAGCACTCACATGATCGCCTTAATGAGAGGAAGAGATTGCTTCTGCGTCGACAGGGTGGATGCTGCTGTAGCTTCATCTCAGTGTCACGTCCGCTGCCCAAATGGCCGGGCGTGCGGTGCGATGGATACTTATTCAGTATACAAACATCGGCGAATGCTGTTACACGATGCTGCTTACTTTTTCACTGAAGATTACCTACCTGTTTTAAAACGGTTTACTTCGGTCTCTTTAGAAACGTGTGCATTTTATTGCATACATGTCGGATCTCCCTTTTTTAGTGTACATCCTAACGGTTTGTGCAAATGCGTATATTATATTCAATTTACGTTGCCATTAAAGCCGGATGTATTTGAATGCAATGTGAGGTGTCCGCACGATGAGAACGAGATTTGCGGTTGTCACCAAGAAAGTGGCCAAGACAATAGTGCGGTCTACCTGACTTTTTTCAAATATGGGAACCTTTTGCTCGCTGTCAAAATGAGGATCCAGAAACAGACGTTTTTAACGTTCCAGAAACATGCACAGACGGATGCAGGGAGGGATGGAAAAACGGTAGGAAGCCATGCACCGAAAGAGATTGCTCAGTCAAGAACGGAGACTGCGGAGGATTGAAATGCATTGAATCAGTGGTCAATGGTTATTCGTACGTTGAATGTGTCTGCGCATATGGCATGCTAGATATAAAATGGATGGGTGTGAAGTTTTTAGGCCAAACTTAGCCTTTAAAAAAATCCTACCTTAACTCAACACTCAACCACTTACATTATGGACTTTTAGATGCAACTCATTTAACTGACGGCATATACGATGGCTTTAAAGGCGCTCAGATTAATGATAACATCGCCGCTTGAATTGCAGTTGAACTTGAGATGTTATTTTGCGTTGGTTATGTTAAAGTTCATAAAAGATACTGCAATAGTCATAAAGAGTGTAACCAAATAAATGGTTTTGTCGTCTCACTGAATGTCACGTTTGACACAAACTCTGGAACCGACATAAGACGTCAGTGAAGCTTTGTGGTCGTGCACCTGATGAATATTTGCTATTTGGATTAACGATTGAAGTAATATGTGAAAGCTTTTTTCCTTCAAAGTTTGTCATAATCCAGCAGGCAGACGACCGGTTTTTGTCAGGAAGTACAGCGGTGGCCGAGTTAGAAGTCTATGAGGCTGGTTGCGACGTTGATAACGGAAAATGTGGAGAGGTGTTCAGAAATCCGAGAGAGACATGCAACTGCCATCAGCTGCAGTGAATGGAACGATGAGGAGTTGGTGTCGAATTTGGTCCCGTTCTACGGCTGCTTTCAACAAGCATACATCCTGGGTACATATAAGTTTCCGACCGATTATGAACAATGAAATACCGAATGCAAATTGACAGATAAGTTGTCTGTGATGATGGCAAGTTTGCAATGCTATTGCGCTGAACAGGTGGCCATAATGGGCAGACTACCAGTCGAAGTCTGCAATACGGGCCACTACCAATCAATTCTCATTTATTCTGATTGTATAATTAAGGATAATTTTTGTGATAATTCCGAAGCCACTTCTTCCACAATTACTACAACAACCACTACATCAACCACTACAACTGCAAAAGTTGTAAATAAGTCTTCTACAATTACTACAACAACCACTGTTTTATTTTTGTATTTTGTGTATATATTGTTGTAACCCTTGACTCTCGTAACTACCAACACCGATGTTACAACTTCAAAAGATTTCTATATTTCTAACACCAATGCTGTAGCTTCCAACAATCGTCAAGAGTTCCTTATTCCGTAGGTTCAAGATCTCCGATAGATGAACACAACAGCTTCAAACGCCTTGAACGTTTATTTGTATACCAGCAGTAATAAAAACACTAAACTAATCGAAGTAACTACATAAACCACATTTACGACTTCGCTTTCACTGTTGGAATCCTATTATTCTATTGGCCGATCGTAATTCGGCTCTCATTTCTCTTGATTCGGCTATTTCTTGTTCCAACTCATTAATCCGTTCGTTTACCTCGGATTTTACTTACTCTATTTTATTATTTATGACATTTTTAATGCCTAATATTTAGTGTTTTTGAAATCCTTCATTTCGTCCTTTAATTCGTCAGATTGTTTGTCGATTTTATCGATTTTTTTTAAATTTTTATATTTTTATTTATGCGTGTCTTACTCTCTACGTCTTAATTTTTTTATATTTTACCATTTTTATTTTTATTTATTTAAGATGCGTCATTCAGCACAAATACACACACACACATTACATTGCATTCGGTAACTATATGGGTAAGTTAGATAGGGATAATTTTAATTGTAGGTTGGATAGATAGAAAACATCTACCCTAATTTAGTTGAATAAGTAGGTGTGTAAGTTTATCGCTTCTATTTTTTCTTGCACCCATATTACACGCATCACCACCGTATTACACACACACACACACACACACACACACAATTACATACATAAATACATATATTAATATTTAAGCGTTATTTTATTTATTTTCAAAACACATCAGTTAGATTTATCATTACTAAGGTTGAGAGTAATTTAATTTCATAGGTAGTTATGGACAATAATATAATTCTAGAAACAATCTTGTAATGTAAATTAAAACTCGGTAAGCTTATTGATAGGTAGGTTAATTATTTAGTTTTACATTATTATTATGTTGGAGCCCAAGGCATAATGTAGGTGGTGGGGTTGGCGCCGAATGACGAATGAATTGGGCTCTTGAGTTTTGTAATTTTAGGTAAGCTAAGGCTGTAATGTAATAAATAGGTAAGTTGAGGCCATAGATGTCTTGATACAAAAGGCTTAACAGACAAACATCATAACATGAGCTTAGTAGGCCCAGGCATTAAGCTACCGCTTCGTTAAATAAATGACCTTTGCTTAAACTATCTTTGTTTGTTTGTAGTGCACGTTGTTTTAAAATGCTGTTGAGTTCCATTTACTGAAAACTTTTGTATCGTTAATTGTTAATTTTTTTTCTTTTTAAATAATTTTACTTGGTATTTAATATTTGTAATTATATATAAAATGGTGAATAAATGCTCAGTTTACGGGTGTAAAAGTGGATACAAATTAAATGCAGCAAATGACGAGAAAAACGACGTATCGTTTCACGCCTTCCCATTAAAAAATCCGGATTTGCGCGTTAGATGGTGATAGGGCGGCGCGATGGTGTAATGGCTAACGTGCCTGGCATTGTTGATGCAGTGTCCGGGTTCGAATGCAAAAAAAAATCCCTGCCTATCATTGATATCTCAAAGGTGAATATAATTTTAAGTGATGTAACAAAAGCCACCAATGAAATAAATCTGTGAAGCCACTTAATTTCATCCCAGATGTTCTAAATTTTTTGTGCTTATTTAGCCTGTTCGTTTTAGTAGATACGCTGTTAATTTGATTATGATAATCAATATGTAACATTCTATTTGGTCAATCGCAAACGACCCTTCAATGAATGATGGTTACTAATTAAAATCATGGCACAAATTTTCTAGCATAGAAAAAATTTCACAGCACTCGTACGAAAACATTAGAAACTATTATTTTTTATATTATTATTATTATAATTAGTAGTAGTGGTTGTAGTAGTAGTAGTAAGTAGTAAATCTTGTAGCAGTAGTGGTAGTAGTAGTAGAAGTAGTAGTAGTAGTATAATAGTAGTAGTAGTAGTAGAAGTTGTTGTTGTTGATATTGTATCAACAGTATGTGAAAATATATTGCGCTTTCGATATCTTTTTAAACAGCGCTTATAAATATTTATTCAATAATAACAATAATATTAGTAATAATTGCGTGTGATAGACGAAGGTCTTTTTGCATTCAAACACTGCACCGCAACTTCAGGAGCAGGCGCCTTAACTATTACACCATCTCATCACTCACATATAAAGTATATATCGCTCTGTAGTAGAAAAATTTGAGAAAAGACTGATAACTACGTGAGGCGACACCTGACTAGCGAACATGTCTTTTCACATTCACAAACACTTCTCTCTTCATTTATTCATGCAACTTTAAGTGGATGCAATCTTCAAATGGCTGGTCGGTGGTTTGCGGTTTAGGAGAGAAATTATTTTTTCAACTACTTGGAAATAAATCAACAGATTCACTTTAAATTATGTGATAACCTTAAAATAATTTAATGAATAAATTTCAATAATTTTATTTGTTGATGAATTTTTATTTGGTTGAACGCCACATTGAATGTTGTGAAAATATAAGTAACAAAGTTGGAAACATTTGGTACAGTTGGTAGAGAGGTGCTTAATTAGTGGATTCGTCAATGAAGAATCCAAACACAATGTTGCTACATGAATAAAGAGCCTTCAAGAAAGTGCGAATTAATGAGTAAAAAAATAAATTTAAAAAAAATGTACGTAATGGAGTTTCAACTAATTCATTTCTTCTTGTGATACCTTTGTCATTAATTTTGCTAATCACTTCCGATGCGTTGTTGTTCTCAGCAGGAGTTGCACGCTAACATTTTGTACATTACGATAAGTTTAAAAAAATATTTTATGAAATGACATTTTGAATTTAATACAACATTACATCGCCGTCATGTGTTATTTTTCTGATATTTATTTGAAAATATTTTAAATGAACAGTTTCATCATCAGTTATTTTAAATTTCACAAGTAGCTTTGCAAAACAAATTGAAAACATATCACGTAAAAAGAGTTTAAAACTCCCAAGTTGAAGCTTCGAACATGCGACAAACAAGCAACACGCTTAAATTACTAATTTCACAAATTAAAATACAAACCTTCTGCAACATCATCAGAAAAATTACAATAAAAAAACGTTGCAATTGCAAATAAAACTAATACCAAAAACAACAAACAACATTATCACGAACATTTTGTATGGGCTATTGCAACATAGTTATGGAGGTTTTCATTAAAGCAGTAGGTACGATTAAACGTACAAGGTTTCATAGGAAGCAATTCGGCCTCGCCAGAGCATTGCTGTTCTCAACATGCCGTGCACATTTTTATTGTAAACATCAACTTTTTTCATGTGCATATCGAACAAACATCGGAGTTGTTCTTCTAAAACAGGGGTGAGCAAACTACGGCCACAAATTTTAAAAAAATTCTTCCCCGGGTCTAAAAAAATTTGCTCTTTAAGTACATATGCGGCCCTTCAAAGGTAAAATAGTTCTCAATGCGGCCCTCACAGCAAATGTTTGCCCACTCCTGTTCTAAAATTTCGGTAAATGAATGAAAAATTAGTCCGCAGGCTCATTTGTAACAAGTAACTTTATATTGTAAGCAACATTTTAAATGCAAAAATAAATAAAAAGTTAAAGTTTCTTAAACCCTTGTGTAATGAACGACTAATGTTTTATATTCTGACTTGAAACAAACAAACCGAGTCTTTTGCCATCAAAATAAACTTTTTCACATACTTTGAACGTTTTAACACTTTGTCAAATCAACATCTTTTTGTTGTTTGTCAACGACGCAAAAAATGGCACGGCTTTCTAAATTATGACACTGTCACAAGAAGTGCTCAACAAACAAACAAAGAGAGACCTGCTTACAAATCACCACCAGGTTTAATGAAGCTACCTTCTCTCACATCACTCAAAACAGT